CAACTGCTAATAAAAGTGGTTTTACATCTTTCTTTCCAATCCATATGCCTTTTATTTCTTCACTTCTTTTTAATCATGCTAGCTAGTACAACATCGAGCGGAAGTGGTGACAATGGGTATTCTTGCCTGCTCCTCGATTTTAGAAATGTCAACACTGCGCCATTAAATATAATGTTAGCTCTAAGTATTCACACATGGCCTATGTCAAGCTCATACACGTCCTATATCAAATTGGGGAAATAGTCAAATCAAAATCATTCTATTTTTAGTGTGCTGAAAGTCACCATGAATTGATTTAGAACTTTCTCAAATGCTTTATTAATTTGGTGAATTATATTAATTGTCAAGAGTTAAGCCTACCTTGCATTTCAGGGATAAATCTCACAATATATTGTATAACTGTTGGATTTGATTTGCTTTGTTGTTTAAAAAGGATTTTTATGTCTATGTTCATCAAGGATATTGGTCTATAATATTCTTTTCTGGTAATGTTAGGTTATTTTCAGCTTGGGGCTCTAATAAATAGTCCTGCTGTAAACATTACTGAGTATTTCTTTTGGCACAATATATACACCTTTGAGTTGGGTGTGCACCTTGTAGTAGAATTTCTGGGTCATGGGGTACATGTATGTTCAACTTTAGTAAATACTGCCCAAGGGGTCGTGCCAATTCACGCTCTCTGCCACCAGGGTACGGCAGTGAGACTCACAACATGGACTGTGAGCACATCCAGATTTCAGTTCAGCCTCTACTCTGTCATAGGCACCCTTGGGCACGCCACCTACTCTCTCTGGGCCTTAGTTTCCTCAGCTGCAAAAGTGGGACAAAAATAGCACCAACTTTTATGGCTGCGGTGAAGATCGCATGAACGGACGTAGGCAACATACTTGGCAAAAAGACAGGAAAACAGTGAACGTTCAGATTTAGGTATGATTACAAAATGGTTCTAAAATTCACCAGAGTTCATAAAATGTCAGCAGGCCTTGGGTTATATATCTGTTGTATTCCATAAAAAAAAAAAATGTTCTGTGTCACTGGACTTTGGCTGGGACAGAGGTGGGAAGAGGAAGAGAACTAGCCCTTCTGGGTTCCTTTGAGGTACTGCTAACGTGCACCCTCTCACTTACCCCTGCCGAGCACCCAGTGAGAATAGAAGGTTTTATTATAATTACCAAATACAGGGCCCCAATACTCAAAGAGGCTAAGTTGCCCGAGGAGACATGGTGTCGAAGGGGTTAAAATATGCTATTGCGGCATATTCACTATTCAGGTTAAATATGCTTGTGAAACAGCAGGTGCAAAACGATCACTTTGACCTTCCTGCTATTTCTTAAAAGCAGAAGATGCAATTCCCCTGACAAGATGCCCTCTCTGCAACAGAAAGATGTGCTATCTTTATACTGGAAAGTCGAAGCCCAGAAAATTCTGTCTAGGTCTTGCTAAAAATAACTCTTATCTTTTAAGCCTCCCCACATAACTTACTTGCTTCTTCACAATAAACTTTTCTTTGTCCAATATATAAGTGGCTGACTCTACTTCTTCCGGGTCTTCATTTCTTTAGGAGGGCTCAGTGCCATGTAACATTTGCATTATGCTTTTCCCCTGCTAATCTATTCTGTCTTATTTCAATTTAATTCTTGGACCTGGCAGGGACGCTAAGAGGATAGAGGCGGACTTTCCCACCCCACGGTGTGTTCCCAGGGTTCCTAGTCTCTTTGTAGGTAGGGGCCCTTCTTTGCTTTAAGGCCCTGGCCCCACACAAGGGGCTCGCCGGGTGTCACGATTATTCTGGGGGAACGTCCAGTCCTAACTGAAGTGACTCCCGCAATGCCAAGCTACTAGATAAGGAAGTTTCTTCCCAGGGGCGTGGCTCCTACAATCCGTAAGGTCTTGTCCTCAGGCCAGTGGTGCAGTCGAGGATCTCTGGGGCCTTGTCACCGTCACCAGTCACCGCACTGTCCCAACTCTACCTGTGCTCCCTGCCTGCCACCGCTCCGGCTCTGCAGGAGCCCAGTGCTTTTAAGCCGAGTGGGGTTTCAGGCGGGAGGCTGGTGGCGCCACAACTGCAGGCAGATCCGACCTGAAAGGAAACAGCCTGCTCCTCTGGGCGTAAAACCCCAGGGGCAGCTTAGAGTCAAGGAAGGCAAGGGGAGCTGGCTGAAGGCCCCTTCCTGACCCCTTTCCACTAAGTACTCAGGGCTGGCAAAATGTCCGGGGACTTCGAATTCTGGGTCCCCTGGGACAGCCCTAGGGACAGCACCTGCTCCTCCTGCCTTCCCAGAGTTTCCTACTGGGGGTAACCAAACACCTACGAAAACGAACCATCATACAGGGCCTTACTGAAGAGGTTTAAAATGTGCCATGCCGGCATATTAACTATTTCAGTTCAGGCACTAGACAAACAGCAGGTGCAAGGAGAGCACTCTGACCTTCTTAAAAGAAGATAAAATTGCCCTGTGAAAAACAGTCTCCCTGTACCAGACGGAAAGACAACATCCTTATCTTCAAGAGCTACAAGTTTCTGTAAAGACCTTGTCAGAATGACTCTTTTCTTTTAAGCCTCCCACATAATTCAGTCATTTTCACAGTTTGCTATTCTCTGCCTGATGCAGGACTCAAGCAGCTGGCTCTGCTTCCGCGTGTCGTCATCTCTTTACAGGGCTCCAGCGCCACGAGAAACACGTATTAATGTTATGCTTCCCCCAGGTAGTCTATCTCACCTCGATTTCATCCTCGGACCCAGCGGGAGCCTGAGCGGACACAGGTGGAGTTTTTCTGCCTCTACATTAAAAATGCAATCTTTCCAAAAGCTGGGCACGCTCCGAAACTTTGAAAGAGCCATTTTAGGTCCCAGGGCAAGGGAATCTTGTGTTCCTACAGAGCGTGGCTTGCTTACCCTCTCCTCTTCCCCTGGGGCTGGTTTCTGCACAGAGGGAGGCTCAGAGGACTCAGAGGGCAGGTCTCCAGGCCAGACGTGCAGCGCCGCCCGCAGGGTGCGAGCCTGGGGCCAGGGATGCGAGTGCCCTCTCTGGGAGACCCCTGCACCCCAGCCTGGAGGAAGTGGGGGGTGGGGGCCAATGGGGGGCGGTGACTCCCCGGGGCGCAATACTCTTGTGGGCGCTGGGCATGGGTTCAGGGCGGGAGACTGGCAGATGGGAATGGGGTCGGGGCTGGGTCAAGCACAGGGCCGGGGCCACAGGTGGGTGCTGGCCGGGGCCTGGGCGTGGGGTTCGCGGTCGGGTTGACACTGGATCCTGCTCTTCGGCCTCAGGGACTCCGGCCCTGCGCCAGGGCCCCCACGCGTGAGGTGGGTTCTCGTTTTTTTTAAAACTACTTTGCATTTTCCTTCCTGCGCCTCAGCAACCCCATCCTGTCGGAGATTTCTCATCACCGTGGCTCTCCTAGCGAGAGCACACACGGTTCAGAGTGGATTAGAGCCAACGTTTGCTCCTCCACCGAGCTGTCGGACGCGAAGGGGAGCAGACCATGGGGTGAGAGCCAAGCCGAGCTGCATCTGGGGAGAGCCCCAGACGTTTCCATCAGTTCCTGACACATAAGAAAACAGGACAAACAGGGCTAGGACGCGCATTCTGAGCCAAGGGTCAAGGTGTCTGAATCTGGTTGCGAGTGAGCACGCCACCGCCCGCGTGTCCCTGCCCCGCTCCTGCAGCGCCCGGCCCGGGGTACCCGGATGCTCCGTGCCCGTGCGCACGGAGAGCAACTGAGTCCGGTCTGAGAGTGAGCTGGGCTGCCCGGATGGGGCGCGAAGGCCGGCCACCAACCTGTGGCGACCCGGCACGTCCCCAAGGGCAGGGCAGGTGCCCCTCCCACCTGCCCTGCCCTAGGTGGGGAGAAAATGGGAGGCCTTTATCCAAACAGAATCTTTCCTTTGTTAAGGGCTTTCCCCAGGCACGGGAGACTCTGACCTCCCAGTTCTCCAGTTGCAGCGCTTGGCTGTCGGCTGTTATTTTTAGTAGAAGTATAAAAGAATCTCAAAAGGTTTTAGCTCTGGACAAAGTGTGAATACAGCTGGGGCCACCACAGGTTCGATTTTTAACCGCTCTTAAAGAACTCCAGGAGGAGCAGAACGCACAAGGAAAGCCAAAACGTTGCACACGGTTTTGTTTTTTTTTCTGGGGGTGGGCGGCGACTTTTGGGTCTTTTCTTATGGTTGAGTTTTTTTGAAATGGGGCATTGGAGATGAATATTGCATGGACCACATTTCTAGATTGCATTCCCTCATGGGTAATCTTAATCAGTGCCCTTCTAGATAAGAATGCAGATTTCAATAATGGCAATAATAAAGTGTTTGCTAAACTCGCTTCAGGAAAAGGCATTATCAGAAGACGTTTATTGCACTCCTAATATGTGTCTGGCACTGGGCAGGCCTGCAGAACGCCAGCGTGATTAGATTCTCAAGGCTTTTGAACCTGCAGTCCTTTACACGTAAAAAGTGTTCAAATAAAGGCTATTATAAAAGCTCTTTCCCCCACTTTCGGGATATATGGTGTGGCACCGATGAATTCCTCATACCCAAACTGTTACTTCTGTTTTGGAGAAACTAACAAAGAAAAGCCAGGCTTAATAAATCAACGCAGAAGTTCAGGAGTTCAGAGTAATCCGTCTTGGGAACAAAGTCTTCCCTAGAGCTAAGAGGCATTCAAAGGACCTCTTGGTGTTAATGGGATTATTAAAGATATACCTGAGACCAGATAAATATTTGATGCTTTTGCAAAGCACTGGGGTTTCTTTGCGGTTTTTCTTGTGCTGACGTTTTCCCCCATGGGGTCTGGACTTTCGCGGCTGCGTTAGATTTTGCAGATGCAGGCCGTCTGGGGTTTCCCGGGGGCGCGCGGGCGCAGGAAACGGCGACCCGCGCGGTTTGCAGGGGCGCGCGTGCGCGCGTGCGCCGGGGGGTGGCGCGCAGAGAGCGGTGAGGGTTACAAAGCTGCCATCTAGAGGCGCCTGCGGTCCCCGCGGTGTATATAACACGGGTCTGCGGCCGGGAGCTCGCAGTTGCTCCGAGCAGCTCGGGCTGAGCGCGGCCCCCGGTGCACAGCGGTGCGCAGCAGCACGACCAGGCGAGCGGCGCGGCCAGCCAGGTAAGGAGGCGCCTGGCTGGGAGGGGAAGGGCCGGCAGGGCCCCTGCTCCCAAGCACGGGGGCCTTTTGCAAGGGAGCTTTTTAAGTCGCTGAGATGGGTGCTTTCGAGTCTGCGGGTCTGGTTTCCGAGAGCTCAGGCTGCACGGGGCTCGCCTGCCCTGCAGAGAGCTTTTGCTAATTCCGGGGCATCACCTTTCCCCCGGCAGAAAGCAAAGGGCAGTTTTCTTAAGTCATTCGGGGAAGGAAATTTCCATGTGTATCTGTTGGATTTAGGAATCTGGCGTTTATTTGCTGCTGTGGGTATATTTAAGCTCCAGTAAGCAGGGCAACTTTGCAAGAACACAGGCTGTCCATTCTGCTTGCCCAAAGTTGGCGTGGGCTTAGCTTGGCACCACTGTGTACCTGCTTTGCTTCTGGTATCTCAATTTGGAAATAGAATTGGCAGCAAATACGTAATTCCAGAAAGATGAACACTTTATTAAGAGGCATCCTTAAATGGAACAGAAAACTGTGCTGAGAACCTTTGTGAATACAGGATGTGTTTGAATTCTCAGTGCTTTTGGGGGTCACCAGATCCTGTGAGCACGGAAGCTATAAATGTGAATGTTAAATACAGCCCAGTCTTCGTGTCTCTTGATTGCATCCTTGCTAATCTCATTTGAGTACTGTTCTCTCGGAAGGTGTTAGGTCCAACTTCAATTGGAAAACCAATAAGCACACATAAAAGTCTAGTTATTCTGTAATTTAGATACACTCTTCAGGTAAAACAGGAACGTTGTTCAATTTTGTTAGCATACATAAAGATTCAAGGGGTGACTAAGAGTGAGAACTTTGGAATGAGGTCAGGATGGGTGGTTAGCTAGGACTTGTAACTTCCAGGGAGAATGAGAAGTTGTAAAAGTCAGACTGGCTGTCTCTCCTCTCCTCCTCTGTTCTTTTCTTTCCTTTTCTTTTCCTTCCCTCTCCCTCTGTCTCCTCTCCTCCTCTTTCCTCTTCTCCTTTCCCTTTCTTTCTTCCAATTCATTTGCTCACAACAGGATTAATTAGTTTTTCAAAAGTGGGAGAGAGCCTCCCTAAATGGTTTACAGCCCTTTGAAAGTATTTGGTGCAGTGACGTCCCCTGAAACTTCTGTCTGCAGAGTCTCAATGTGGTCACTTTTTTCTTTTCTTTTTAAAAGCAGATGCTGCCTTTGTGTCCCTTTATTTATTCCAGGAAAATGTGGAGATCAAGTGGGCATGCCTAGCAAAGAAAGCGGAGGCTGCCGGTTTCTGTGCTTTATTCTGTGGCTTTTAAATGGATAAACTGCTTGTCTATTTTTCATCAGAATATGAGCTTTCCCCAGTGCAAAGCCTTTCTCCGAAGCAAGTTGCACATGGGAGCTCTAGCTTGGAAACAATTTGCTCTTTTTCCCCCCAGTCTCTGCCATAAACACTTGAATGTGCACACAACTGCCAGCCTAATGCCACAACCTCCAGGAGACTGGGGAGGGGGAAGGGGGAAAGCCACACAGGATGGGGGTGGAAAAGCAAAGGAAAAAACTGAGGAATGGCTGTATTTTGCTGCCCATCAGATTTTTTTTTTTTAAAGGGGCATGCATTGTAGTCATAGTTTAAAAAAAGTTCCAGAAAGTGTAGCCAAGGCAGCATGTCTGTACTTAACTGAGCCAGGACTTTAGGGGTGAGTTTATCCCATATTAACAGCAAGTCCTTAGAGACTTGAAAAGGTATTATGATTTCTAATCAGGCCCAGAACAGGCTGAGAGTATAGGCTTTCTGAATGAGGAAAAAAAAAAAAAGCCAAAAAACAAAAAACCCGACTTAATCAGGAACAGTGGCTTTTTGTGGGATCGTTTTAGGAAGAGAACTCCTGTTTTCAAGTCTACATGCGGGAAGCTGGTTGCAGTGACCCAGACCTGGGGCTGAAGGGCAGTCACCTTATAAACCTTAAGAGTAACCAAGGGGAAAGAAAAGACCTCAGAGATTTCAGAACTTCAGATTTTCCTCAATGATTTTTGTAAAACACGAATGGAATTTGGGGCCAAAAGGCATTTGTGCCTTTAAACTAGGCAACCAAGGAATTTAGTTTTAGGAACAAGAATAGTATTAAAATGCCTTTCAGTTGGATTCCACACGTGCAGGTATAATTCGGAAAGGAGCCAAAGGTTGTGTCATGTCCAGTGTTTTTAAAGCCCAGTAAAGGAAAGGAGTAGCTCCGGGGTACATATTTTCTATTAGAAGCAGGCAAGCACATAAGCAAGACATGGACAGATGAGGACAGACAGAGGAGGAGGGAGTGTCCCTGATTTTGAATACTTGGTGGTTTTCTGCTTGGGCATATTTGATGCTTTTCTTACTAAGAATCTATTAATTTAGAACTGGGGAAAAAACCCAGTATTACTGCTTCCTTACTAAAGCGATCAGGGAATTGCATAATTGTACGGTGACTATTTTGCAGAGCTACAAGTTAAGTTTGGAAGCGAACTGTTCCGTCCTAGGCTCTCAGGGGCAGAGGGGGCTGAGACTATCTCAGGTGGCCTTGAACCTCTGTTGGCCAAGGGTCAGATGAAGGAGCCCTGGGCAGTGCAGGGGACTTCACGTTTTGCAGGCCGGGCCTGCCAGATAGCAGGCATCTTTCACTTTTCCTGTTGCGGCAGACACTTCCTAGACGTCCTCCCTCAATGTTGTATGAAGAGCCTAAGACGGTGCAGCCTTCTCCTGGGAACCCCATTGTGTGCAGCTGAGAGCCCGCAGGGAGGCGGCCCTGCCAGCCTGGCTGACCTCCCACTGCCTCGCCCTGGTCCTAAGCTGGGTGGGAATCAGGGCTCCGATTACACCCGGCCAACCCAGACGGCGCAGCCTGTGTGACGTGGGGATCTCCGGGTCTGCCCTTCTGGGCGCAGCTCTGCCTCCCTGGCGGGCAACTGAGCACAGCAGGCCAGATCGGGTTTCTGGATGTGGGATTTATTTCATCTCCCCATACTCACAGTGGACGAGGATGTGCCATGGGTTAACGTGGAGTATGCCTGAGGACTCTGAGGATAGGTGGCCTATATGTGAGTCTGGGTATGGGTTTTTCTCTGTTCTTTTTTGAGTTCTTGAGGAATTCAAAGCAGTTACTTACTTGCATAAAATAAGACCACTCAGGGTCACTCATGAATGTGTAGTCAAGACTGTTTTCCATGTGCTTGGCACTGGGGGACAGACAGCTCCCCATTCTGTTACCAGGCCTGGCAGATAGCCACAGAGACTTCTTGGACTGAAGCTTTCCTGGACTTCTCCCCCAGCTTGGTTGGGTGGGACCCCCATAGACGTGATGCAGGGTTGGCAAAAAAGGATAAAACTCAATGATGTGCATCGCATGATGGTTCTGGAGGTAGCGAGGATTATCCTTATCTGAACTGCACACTCGGTTTCCACTGGGACCAGCCAAGTGGGTGGGTAGTGCTTTTGCAAAGAGACCGGAACACGAGCGCTTGTAGCATGATTCCCGCTGGACAAAGCCTCTGGAGAAGCTGGAAGCGGGATGAGAACTCTGCTCTTAGCCACAAGCCCGAGATAACCCAGTCTCTTCCCCTGTCCAGGCCTCAGTTTCCAAGTGTGCACACGGTGGGAGCAGCTGCACAGGGTGAGCAGCTCTCGTCTTGTGACAACGCTGCATTTCTCCGTGAAATTCCACTGTAGGTCACAGGTCACGAATTGCAGACAGCCAGTAGAGGAGGCAGAGGTCCTGAAGGGCCCAGAGGGCCAGGGGGCCCCTGGGTTTGGAGCTGGGACCCAGGCCCCCCTGGCCTGTCCACGTTATCTTATCTGCTTTCCAGGAGAGGAGCCACTCCTCCCTCCCCCGGGTGTCTGCCCCAGCCTGGTCTGCACCCAGGCCCCAGCACCCGCTGCAAAGCCTTCTGGCTCCTTTCTCTACAGCCCTTTCTGCCCCAGAGCCACAGCCTCGCTCAAGAGCTCCCCGGCTCCTGCACGGGCAGGCCCAGGCCTGAGGTCCCTGCCCACCCGTCAAGACCCAGCCCTCACCTCCATCTCTCCTTCGTGGAGGGTCTCTGCCTCCGCCAGGCTGGGTGACTCCGCCTTCATGGCAGGCAGAGTCATCTTTCTTTCTGGAAGCTCCCTTGATCACCCCACCCTCTTGAAGACCCCATCAGCCACTGCAGTGGGAATCCCTCATCGCCCTGCTGAAGGGGCACCCACCACCTTGCCCGGGCGTGGGGCAGGAGTGGGTCTTCATGCTGTGCTCACCTTCCCAAAGAGAAGGCAGGTTCTCGAGAGTGGGGTGAGATGATGCCGGTCTGTCATCCTCACGCGCCCCAGAGCTGCGCCCCGTCTCGGAGAGGCTCTGCCAGCACCAGCTCGGCGAGGATTTCAGGAAAGTCTCCTCCGCACCCGCATTTCCGACGCGGCCTCGGATCGCTGGTCCCGGAGGGGCTCGAGTCCCTGACACCTGCTTTATGCCAGGTTGCTCCGCGTGCCGTGGCGACACGAAGACGAACGAGACGGGTTGCGCGGGTTGCAGGGCTTGAGCGGGGACGAGGTGAAGGGGGAGAGACGTGGACAGCTTGGTGGTGCAGTTGGGGGCGTGCGGAAGTGGGGTGGGCGGAAGGCGGGAGAAAAAGGCGGGCAGAGCGCAGCAGGTGAGAAGCGGCCCCCGCCTCTGATGGGGCTCGAGCACATCCAGGGCAGCTTCCGTGAACACTGGCCAATTCCTCAACACGCGGCAGCCTCTGGGAGGAACCGACCAGCATGAGGACACGCTGGCTGCAGGCACACCACTGCCCCATGGAAATCTAAACTTGGGGACTTCTAATTCTGGCTGTCCCCCGGCTCAATGGGTGAGCTCAGGCAGACCATTTGGATGCAGCTAAATGCCTCGGGCTGCTTGCCGTGGCTCCGCGGTTGTCAAGGATACTTGGTTGATGAATAATAAGCCTCAGAAGGGAGAGGCATCTCCCAGAAAAGTCCTCCGGCCGACAAAGAAGAGCCCTTGCCCAGTTTGG